TTTGCACCTCTGCTGATTGTAAAGCTGCATAAAAGTTCATTTAAATTTTTTTCTCTGTTACTCTAAAAGGAAAAAGAGTAGAGTTTCCATCAATAAAATTTAAAATAACCAAAATATGCAAAAAGAAATAAAAATTTTTAAAAAATGTTATTCTTTGAGATAAAGTTCCTTTATTTCTCTTTCTAGATATGTAAAGTAATTTGACTATCTCTGTTCTCTTATATTATTCAATGGCTAATGTGCGAACGGTTTAACAATTGCATTGTTCAGAGCAATTTTGAAAATAACCCAAATGTCTAAAGTGCGAGAATTTTCCGTCTTCAATGACAAGAAATAATATTTTAGAAGGGTAAAGGGGGTCTATGCACCTTTGAAAGCAGTCTGTTTCCATCGTTGTCTAAGATGAAGACAGCCTTCACAGTGTAGAGCGAGGGTTCCTGGTTGAAAAGAAATCTACGTAATTTTCAAACATTTAACATTAATTTTTTTTATGTTTCAGATGTCATAAATAAACACCCTTGAAATAATACTGTTACATGCCTATAGACAGAAAAATACTATAAAAAGAGAAGGTCTAGTCAGAAGTGGCTGTTTGTTGGCTCTCACTCGACTGGGTCCATCCGGGCCAAAGTTCTGTCATGCACTGACTACCACTGATTCAAAGTCTGAGTGTATCACAGAACTTGAGCCAGGAGAACAATAGGAGAAAACTATCATCTTTTCAGATCATCTGGTTGAAATACAAGAGAATCCTGTCTCGATGTAGACCTTCAGGGCCCAACAACGAAACTTTCCCCACTGTAAATTATAATATCTAATTCACAGCAGCACCTTGCACTGCAAATCCATCTATTAAAAGTGTTACCAATAACCTTTAACTAATATAAACTTTTGTGTTGCTTGTTAAGATTATGTGTAAACAATGCAAAGCCTTGTATTTTTACAATGCTAGTAATTAATGAATTATCTAAAACTGTCAACCCTGTTACCATCATCTTTTTAAATTATAAATATATATTCAAATGTATTCAGTATTTAGCTTGAGATTATGCAATACATTGTATTAAAATTTATTAAACATAATGATATATATATATATATATATATATATATTAAAAGTAATTCTTCGTCTCATGGTGTTTAAAATCTTAAAGAAATTAACTTTAAAAATCACTTCTTCATACAAAAAGCACTTTTTTCGTAGACTAACGCCGTCAAACAGAGGTGCTGCTATTTTTCTACAGCTACAGTATTAATCATTTGCCGTTAGAACTGATGTTGTCCATATAGGTCAACTCATAAGAGTATTAAAATGTCCATGGCAAGCAATATCCCTGATCTCCTCCAAGTGTCCACCTGTGGAATCAATCACGCGCTCCGCTCCGGCAGAGACGCGTCGAGGACGTGGCATCCACGTCCCACTTTGAAAACCCACATCTTCCACGACTAGACGGGGGAAAAAACTTTTGGAACAAACTAAACAAGTGGGAAATTAACATAAACAAACCCGTAGCGCACAAGAAGCGAAAACACACTACATTCGCATTGTGCACTACAATGTACGATCTGTTCATAATCGGAAAAATTATGTTATGGTTTGCTCCCATAAATATTTGTTAGGTCGCAAAGAGAAACCGGATCAGTTTCTGGCAACAACAATTTCGTTTTCGCGAGAAAAAAAGCATGCACGAGCGTTTATAATACAAGACAACACGTATTTACAGTAGTTCACAACTGTAGAGCTTCTTAAAATATTGTTCCAACTTAGCACGCACAGACTTAGAATAATATAAAGATAAAAATAGATGCTGTCGATAACATAATTGTCTATTCAAAGACAAAAACTGCTACAAGCTACCAAAGCCAGTCGATCTATTATTTGAACGTTTACAGTGAGAAAAGGAATACAAAAAAAACGGCGAGTAAATGGCACACATATCCTACCAGAGCCGCGGAGTCCATGGCGGTAGCAGTGTTGACGTGGACAGCTTTGAGCTGTCATTACAGTAGCGCTCCTAAAACCCTCTGACTCACAGGGGGCGTGTCTGCAACTACAGCCCTCAAGCCGCCATGTTGGCTCAAACCCACCATAGCTTTCTGCTTCAGCAGCGCTACGGTACAGGAGCCACAATGGCGGCTTCCATTGTACGATCTGCTGCTCACTTGAATGTTTGTTGGGAAGTCTTGAGGATGAAATTACATTTTGGGCGTCATATCATTTGCTCTAATGAGTTACTCGTTTTCCAAATAAGTTTCATTAAAGGCGTGACTGCCACCAACATGAGATATCTGAACCAACAGGATATGCAATGAATAGATAATGAACGGCTGCTGTAAGCAAATTAATGATGTAACGTCACCTCTTACTAGCGCGACAGGGGGCAGCAAAGCTGAAAAGGTTCAGGGATCAGGGGTGAAGATTGCTTACAGCTTACTGTAAATACATTCATTAAAATGTCACATATTAATAATAATAATAATCTGTCAATCATTTCCCTCCTTCCTCCTTAAAGAATACCAACATTTACTCAGGTTGTTCCAAACCTGTCCGAGTTTCTTTTGAAGAATGTTGGTAAGCAAAAAGTTGACGGTAGCCATTGACTTCCATAGTATGAAAAAACACCTATGGCTACCATTAACTGTTTGCTTACCAACATTCTTCAAAATATATTAATTTGTGTTCAAATTAACTTATACAGGTTTGGAGCAAGTGGGGGGGCGTAATGATGAATTTTAATTTATGGGTGAACTGTCACTTTAAATATTACCGCACATTGCATAATTTGCCATCATCCAATATATGCACGTGTAGGTAAAAAATAAATTAATAAATAAATAAAAATCAGAGTACCTATTTGTATAATTTTATTCCTGTCAGTTATTCCGCGGCTTTTGTTTCATGGTCCAAATATAGACACGAACGCTCTAGAAAACACATATGATGTGTTATTGGAAAAACCAGCAATCTCTTCTAAACAGTGACAACTGGGGTGCGAGCTTGCGCGCTCTTGCCGAAAGAAAACCGAAAGTCTCATCACTTCCTGTGGGGAGGAGACCATTACTTTCCACCGCTTACTTCTGCCATATAAATACACTCGCACACTATTATAGAGCATGTGAAGTTGAGTGATTCAGATCATCCAAGAGTAGTATCCCGCTCTCAAGTCTGTCCAGGGACTACGAGAACTCTCGTCCGCAGACAAAGTAATGTTTTATTGACTTATCCAACTTATCCATAGCACAAATCTAAACATCAGATAGCCTATTGTGAGCTCAGATTTACAAACTGTTATGAATCTAATATCACAATGTTCAAGGCAAGTTGTAGTTTATCGGTGTAACGATCTTTCTATTCTAAAAGCTTGTGCCGCGCGTTAACTAACTGTAAATATGTGTTGCATCTCTATTAATCCTGATCGTTACCAGAATGAGATATGAAAGGAAAGAAGCATGTCTTGCAATATTTTATTACTTAAAATGTGTAACATTTTATTTTTCTATAGAAACCCCAACTCTAGCCGTCCTGAAACACTAGTGTTTATTTCACGAGAAACGTTTTGATTACATCATGGGGTGACTCAGTCGCCTGTTGCCCGGTTATGAAGAAAGAAGTAGCCTAAGTGGGTCAGCGGGAGTGTCATGCGTTGATGATTGCAGTTTATGATCTTCAGTGTTGATGCGTTCAAGACAACAGAACATTCTAGAAGTTTCGCGTGTCCACCGTGAAATTGTTCACTTGTGTTTGAAATGTTGACAGCTGCCAATGTTTGCTGCCTATGTTTGAACTAAAAAAAGAAACTGCATTCACAATACAGAACAGCCGCGAGTGCATCATTGCTTTTTTCCCAAAGGGTCATTACATTTTAAAATAAAAGTAAATTTTTAAATTACATTTTATTCTGTAAATTAATTAAGAGAATATAGCACGTGAAATAACACGTTATTCTATACGGCGTTGTGCTATTTCAAAGTGAACAGGCGTTCACGTCACAGCTGGATCGAGAGTGCATCATTGCTTTTTTCCCAAAGGGTCATTACATTTTAAAATAAAAGTAAATTTTTAAATTACATTTTATTCTGTAAATTAATTAAGAGAATATAGCACGTGAAATAACACGTTATTCTATACGGCGTTGTGCTATTTCAAAGTGAACAGGCGTTCACGTCACAGCTGGAACGCTGTAATGACCAATCAGAAGCCAGGAAAAAGATTCGCTTAGGTTTGATGTCTTTCTTGCTGAGATTTCACATATTGTGAAATCTCTTAAACTCATTGATAACAATAAGAACAATAAGTTTCTTAAGGTTTATGTTGATATTTTTCTTACTGATTGCTCTTGTTGTTTTTGTTTTTCTTTCCTTTTCTCCATTTTCCTTTTATGTTATCATAATGCAGTGCTGGTTTTTGTTTCTTGCAATAAAAATACAGATGCCAGGAACACATATAATTATAGGCTATACAATGATGTTTCGCCTTTTGGCACTGAAAAAAACTATTTTCACTCTGAAATTGCTAGTAAACTACACAATTAATTACAAAAAAAAAAAAAAAAAAAAAAAAAAAAAAAAAAAAAAAAAAAAAAAAAAAAAAAAATTAAATGTGAAATTCTGAAGTAGAAAGACTTAAATAGGATTTTCTTGTAAAACATAATTTAATAATATTTGTTTTATTTACTTTGAAAAATATTATAGTGTTCAGTAAACCATGGTGTTGCTCATTAACCTTTATAACTTAAATATGATTTCTATTTACAATAAACCATTCTAAGTCTTTACATCTCTCATTTTTTAAATAAAAAATTATTAAAACAAATATGACTGAATACGAAAGAAGGGTTAATCTAAGCATTATACATTAACTGGGAATGTGTGAATCTTAAATCCTTATATCATTCTTCTCTTCTGTTGCAGGATTTTGAGACATTTTCCTCTGTCTTCTTTTTCTATGAACTAAAAAAAAATCAAAAACTGAAGTTTTCTTCATGGAGAAAGTCTAGAAATTCTGGATACACAAACACGCTCATATTGCATTTGAGACTGACTTGGCTCATTCTTTGCTCTTGGCAGTGGTTTGGGCCATGCCGGACCTGAAGAAGTACCTCACAGAGGGCCTGATCCAAGTAGCTATTCTTCTCAGTCTGGCTGGGATGCGTGTGGACGTGGATCCCTACCTGCCCCCTTTTAGTGAAATCATTCTGGGCCCAAATTCAGCTCTAACTCAGACTCAATTCCACAATCTTCGAAACATCTTGGATGGATATAACCTGCACCCAAAAAGCGTAGATCTAGATGGTTTCTTCACAGCTCGCAGGCTTCTCAATTGGGTTCGCTCCCTAGACCGCCTGCAGGTTCCAGCGGCGGAGTTGGAAGCCTGGTTGGTCCACAGGGAGCCTGACAATGGAGTCTCCATTCCAGCTCAAGTGGGTCTCCTTGAGGAAGGTGGAGGACTTGAAGATGTGGAGGAACCCTCAGAGCTAAGCATGAGGTTGGGAAATGGAGGAGAAGTGGGTTATAATGTAGCTGAGGATCAAACCCTCGGAGCTTTAGGGCACATGTCAAGAAGCCTCAACCATTCAGATGATGATGAACTCCTTAAAGAGGTAAGCAGTGAAGCCAGGGAAAACTTCAAAAAGATTTTCCTATTTATGTCAATGACCTGTTTTGTGGTTTGTTACATAATAATTCAAGTAAATATTTGAGGAAGGGAAGTTGGTGCTAGCAACATCCTCCATGCAAGGATATTTGACTCTTATTGTAGTGCTTATTTTTAAAAAGCCATAACATGAATAAAAGAAAAGAAAAGAAAATGTTTGGAGAATATATTTTTTCATATACACTACCATTCCAAGGTTTGGGGTCAGTAAGATTTATTTTAAAGAAATTAATATTTATCAAAAAATCTTGAAAAATATAAGTATCACGACTGGAGTACATTTTTAGCTTTGCCATCACAGGAATTAATTACATTTGAAAATATATTAAAAAAGAAAACTTTTTAAAATTGTAATATTTCACAATTGCTGTTTTTATAGAATTTTTTGATCAAATAAATGCAGCCTTGGTGAGCATGTGGTGAAAAACATCAAAAACATCCTAAAGACCCCAAATTTTGAACAGTAGAGTAAAAATATTTATAAAAGTAATTTGTATATTTACTTGTGCACCACAACAAACCTCTTAACTCTAATTAGCTCTGCAATGTATTTGTTTTTCATAGTGCACAGAAATGTGCTTGAACAGAAGAATAAGAAGAAAAACAATTGTTACATCTGACTTTATTGATCTTTCAACTATGGTTATATTTCCTTATGGTGCATGATTTCCCGTTAACTTGTGCCCTACAAAATAAGGAAGTGTTTTCATCTGTGAATCTTATTAGGTTATCAGCTGATACAACATACTCGACAGAGAGTTGCAAAATTACCTGGAAATAAGTTAACACACATACAAAATAATATATAAGTAACTTAATCATATATATATATATATATATATATATATATAAAATCATTTTACTAATTGCAATTCTGTAAACACACCAAAAACAGCACTGGCTGTATACCAAAAATGTCTGGTCCGGATATGAAAACGGGTTTGTTATTTAGTTGGAAAAACACATGTATCCCTGTCTTTGCCCTGAAGCACAGCTGAGTATTAAGCAACGTCAAACATCTGATACTTCAGCTTGGCTGGGTTTCCTCTCCATGTGTTACTTAAGTGTTGCATGTTGTTTTTTGTTCTACTGACCGTGAGAGGTTCATGAGACCCAGAGTATTCTGGGTAATGAGGCTAACATATGATCGCTGGCCTGTATACTAGCATGTTATATACGTTTCCATATTGTAAACACAACAGCAGCTAATGATTTACGGACTCAAGAATAAGTAGTAACGCTCCAAAATAAAAGTCAAAAATCTTATAAATCTTATATCTAGGGTAATATTTGTTAAACCCATATGATTTATTGAAAAACTGTAAGAGCATATAAAACACTTGAGTGACAAAGTGAATAGTTCACCCAAAATTGATAATTTGCTGAAAATGTACTCACCCAAAAGCCATCCAAGATGGAGATGAGTTTTTCTTCATCAGAGCAGTTTTGGAGAAATTCAGCATCACATCACTTGCTCACCAGTGGATCTTCTGTAGTGAATGGGTGCCGTCAGAATGAGAGTCCAAACAGCTGATAGAAACATTACAATAATCATCACAATAATCCACACCACTCCAGTCCATCAATTAATGTCTTGTGAAATAAAAAACTGTATGTTTGTAAGAAACAAATCCATCATTAGGCGTTTTAACTTAAAAGCATTGCTTCCAACTAAAATACCAATCCATATTCTATAATAATGGTTCCTCTAGTGAAAAAGTCCATCTTCTGTTGTCCTTTCACATTAAAATACACCGACATATTTGTTTAGAACTGTTTTGTACTTGTAAATGGTGCTTGATTTGTGCATATTTCTCTCTTTATTCAGACAAGATGACTTTATCACTGGGGAAAGTATAATATTATGGATTAAGGACTCATATTTTAGTTATATTTTCACTTCACAAGACGTTAATTGATGGACTGGAGTCGTGTGGATTACTTGTGTATTATTGTAATGTTTTTATCAGCTGTTTGGACTCTCATTCTGACGGCACCCCGTTGGTGAGTAAGCGATGTGATGCTGAATTTCTCCAAATCTGTTCTGATAAAAAAAAAACTAAAAACTCATCTACATTTTGGATGGCCTGAGGGTGAGTAAAATAAAAAAATTTGGGTGAACTGTTCCTTTGTAGTGTTAAGCTGGTTTGTCACATGACCCACAGCAGACTGCCAGCATATGCACAGTGTCCAGCAGACTATTTAGTCTGACTGTGAGCGTCTGCCTGGATGTGCGCCCACATCATTGACATTTGTGAGAAGTATCAAGCCTCTTTCTTTTGCTTTCTGTGCACATGCATCAACTCAGTGGGACAGCTAGGGAAATTTCAAATGGATGCTTTTTATTTTCTGTTCCTCCAGTGGGCTTTGTAACAGAATAAGAGGCTGCACACAGTATAGCAGTTACTGAACCTGAATTCCCCTTGAGTTAGGACCCTGTACTTCGAAACAGTTGCTATGCATTTGTCAAGTCGCCACATGTGCAGACCAGATCAGATTTGACAGGTTTCCATGCACATGATCCACAGGGCTATTTCTGAGCCAGGCTGTTTGTTAGTGTGGTATAGAACAGGCTGCAAATTTGGCCCTATGGCACATTTGACCTGTACTGACGGGCAACATGGTGTTCCTGGATCAGACTGCTGACAATTTTTTCTCTAGGGATTATTATAAGCATGCAGTTTGGAGAAAAATTATTCTTCGCAGACAGAACATTTTTGTTTCAATCTTGAACATCTCATCTGTTCAATTCAGAGCTAAATAGTTAGTTAACATAAGTTGAATTCAGTTTAGTTCAGTTGAATTTTTTTAAAAGATAGCGAACAACTTGCTTCAATCCACACTACTCTTGTTCTAAAACGACAACGATTCAGCAATGTCTATTATTGTCTCTTTGACACGTACGATCACATTAGTTGGTAAATCAAACCTGTGTTTGCACTGTGTATATGTGGTCTTTTCAACATTGTTATGTTGACTGTCTTGAGTGAGTCATTGAACCATTTGTTAAGTCGATTCTATCTAATGCGGCGATTCAAACCAGTGAAAGCTATTATGAGTGAGTCATCGAATCATTCATTCAAACGATTTGTTCAAACACATTGATTCATTCAGGAATGGAACAAGTCTTTATGAAGGAGTTGTAACTTTCATTTAACTTGCTCTTTCAAATGAATACATGTTTATATTTACTTTCAAAAATATAAAAAAAAACTTTCAAAAAATACTTTGACACATCAGTAATATTTCAGTCGTCTTTCCCTGTGTTTCTCTTTGAGTAGGTCTGGCATACTCCTTAAAAAAGGGTGTAAGCTCAATATTGTATTTTTAACTACAATACTGTAGTTCATATGAGGGCGTCTGTACTTGACCAGGCAGACTTCTTGTGACCCCAGCTTGAAGTTTGACCGCTGTTAAATATGCCTGAGCATGTGCTGGCTTGGCGTCCACAGCACCAGCCTGGCTTGTTTTGTAATCCGAGAAGACAGGCACATTTGCTTTCGCAATGCCTGTTTACCGGCTACTGCTCAAGTGTCTGGACCCATCCCCTCAAAACCAAGTCAACGGACTGTACATGAACGACATCTTCCACTGCTCCTCATACCTTAAGCTTAAACGTAAACAGGCACTGTGACCTTGTCAAACCCTCTCTAGGACTGAGCATATGTAGGTGTGGATGTTGATGTGTACGGAATAGGTTACACGATTAAGTGACGCCCTAACCTTAACTATAAGGCAGGGGGGGACTTGGGTTGTTATTCCCCTAATACCAAAAAACATATTAGTCAACTGCCATGCTTGTCACAAGAACCACAGGGGTCTCTGGAGGCTAAGGGGACTTCCAATAACAACAGCACAGACACCCAAGAGACCAATAGCTTTCATTAATCCCTCTCCAGAATAGGGAAAGGTTAGGTTTATTTATAGCCAAAAGCTGTCTGTTGTCTGTAAATGTATGGGTTCCATATATACAAGTTGAAAAATTGTCCAAATATTTTCATCACTAGGCCAAAACATCACACACCTTGATGTTACTACTGTAGGAAGTGCAGATTTTTATATATTTAATAATATTTGGTAAAAAAAGAAAAGAAAAGAAATATATAAAATTAAAAATATAAAATAAATCAAATTAATCACCAGGAAGTTATCCTGCCTTGATGAGTTATCTGAATTACTGTAAATATGAGTTTCCTAGTTGGAAATTAGACATGAACAGCCTCTCAGGTCGTATTTACAACTGGGGAAACTCTGAGATAATTTTGATGCACAAGTTTCTGAGTTGGACGGGCCATAAAGTTGAAACATGACTGAGGAAAGAAACAGTAAACAGTAGTACTGTAAAGTTGTATTCATTTTTGCCACAAGATTTACATTGCTTCCTTATATGTATCAAACACAGTGAAAATAGCATTTATTTGACCGAAATATAGTTATCATCAGCCAGCTTAATATCTTATCACAGTGAATGTTACCAATGAATGGGACACTACATTTCTACATTGCTTGCTTATGTTTCAAACACCGTGAAAATAGCATTTATTTGACCGAAATATAGTTATCATCAGCCAGCTTAATATCTTATCACAGTGAATGTTACCAATGAATGGGACACTACATTTTATTCAAAACCTGATGGATATTAACTTAATATCTTCTATATCTTTTGGCTTTAATAAGATTTCCCAAAGAAACGGGCAATAATGTATTCATGAATGGGCCGTCCACCAGGATCCCTGCTCTTTCAGAGCACTTGAGCGCGACAAACTCGTAATTACAACTTCATGCGTGGGAAGTTTCCAAAATCACGTGAAGGCAGCAATAGACTATCCTGACTTACCTGAGACCGCCACTTCCTATCCATAAGAGAATGTACTTCCTGAGATTCTAGACACGATCCATACTTTTGCATTTGCAGGAGGGAGATGACATGTCCTTCTTCTGGGAGCAGGAACCTCAAAATGTCCACCAGGAGCAGCTGGAACATGCAAGAACCCAACCTCTCGGCTTGTTTAATGAGGAAGAAGAGGAGGAGGATGAGTTTATGGTAGATAGCTGGAGAAATACAAATCCATTTCACAACCAAATGTTTGGAGAGGATCTACAGGTATGACAGTGAACATACTCACAATAAGGCACCAAATATTGAAAATTTATTTATACAATTAGCTGCAATATCAACATTTCTATTTCTTAAATTGCTTCACATTATATTCTATAAAACAAGATCTTTTTAAATTTTATTTTAGTATTTGTCATTTCCATTAATTAAATTATTTTTGACTTGCAGAGAAGTACATTGAGCTAAAGTACTGAAATCCTGTGAATAGGACACAGAATACACTCAAAATTGTGTAAAAGTAGATTTTGGAACTGAATTCCTTGCTATTGACCTTGTTACTGCTGACCTCGATGAAGACGTTCCACATTCCAAAGCAGTGCAGCACTGCCATCATAGTTTGACCTTGACAGATAATAGAGTGATATGAGTTTTACTAAACTATTTCCTCATGCTCACTTGCTCCTCTTTCAGTTGTCAAGTGCAAGGGACCACACTTCTCTTTCCATTGAAGAGTGCTTGCATCTCATCAATGCCAACTTCCCCTCAGAAGGAGATCCAGAGGTAAACACTTGATCTAGAATGCAACATTTAATCTTTTTACAACAATGTGTGCAGCAAGAATTGTTTTAGAGGTGGAGAGAGACAAAACAAAAGAAATGTAGGCTTTCCAAACTACATTATAAATCTTAATTTTCTCAGTTGGCAGGTCCTGATGTACAGAATGTAGGAGAACATGCACTTTCAGAGTTTCAGAGGCCACTCATGTCACCCTTGTTGCCTGAACAGGAACCCACAACATTAGAGCAACAATGGCAAGATGTTTTGGCCATCATGGAATCACAGGTATGAAATGACCAACACCTTCCTGTCAAGTCCCAAATTACAAGTTAATCAGTGCTTTGAAAAGTTAATGAACATATTTGACGTGCTCTATCATTTTGAGTCATAGTCGTTTGTGGAGAAACATGAAGATTATAAGGGGGAAAAAAAGAATTTTAACTGTGTAATGTTATATTTTTTTTTACTAAAAACGGTCGGTTTTCAAGTTATGTCAATGAGGGTTATGTTCAACAGACTTCCATATTTCGTAAAACAGGTCTCGGTGCTTCTGGTTCTAGTGTTTTGTCTGTGCTCTGTTAAATATGGAGCTGTTTTACTCAAGATGCCTTCAAAGGAGATACCAAAGATGATCATATATCCATCACATATGCAGATTTTATTTTTATCCTTTTTAATAACATTCAGATATTAAAATTTAATAAAATGGCAACGATAACAACAACTAGCTAGGTTAACTGATTACCTTAAAAGTCCATAGATATCGCCATCAGTTCATGCTGCTGTTAACACTTTCTCCGACAAGCGGATGCGTTTTCCGGTTTGGTCAGGTGACGCTCGACATGCACCCTATTTTACAACAAAATTCAAAACTTAAATGCTGTTTAGACACTCTTTAATATGACATGAAAGATCGCTGTAGCCGCCTCAGTTCAAACAGCAACACGGAGTGCGCAAAACAATCCTCTTACTCTTTACTACTTGTAATCGCACAAAATAACATTAGAAGATATGTTGAAATAAGCACTACAACTTATTGAAATGTATTGTCTCTTAAGTAATCGCCAAATTAGTGTTTTAACCACAGAAAAGACCTCAACAAACCCGCTGGTGAACATGTCACATGACGTCTTATTTACCAAAGAAAAGGCGTCATGTGTTCACAGCTTGTTAGTTGGCTTGAAAAAAAATATATAGAGAGAAGGTCGTAAATATATAGATAGATTTATGCAATATATGAATAAATTAGCCAGCCACCATTTAAGTGATTATTCTTCACAGCGGTTTGGAGTAAAAACATATCATTAAAGACACACTTTTTCATTGACTACTCAAAATGTGTTTCTTGGTCAAATATGGAGCAGGTCACATGTTTTATGTTTTTTGACCTGGCAGTCAGAGAAATTTATTTGACTCCTCTTATCTTTACAGGACATGGATACAGCCGAAACAATAGGCGATTCTTCCTTCAGTATCAGTGATTCAGACAGAAATACTGGATCAATGGAAAACTTTATTCACCAGGATGTTAGCCTTCACCAAGCCACTCTGCCAAGATCCACTGAAGCACAAAACAGCGTCACCATGGAAGAGACGTGTTGCATTAACAACCACTCCATGCCAAACATCAATTTGGACAATTCAACTAATGCAGAAGCTTTTGAAGACTCGGATATCATAGACCTCCTCCTGACTGCTGGCACTAGCCTGCCAAGCCCTATAGATCCTCTGCTGGAGAAAGCCATGCTTGATGAGATTGATCTAATGGATTTGGCCCTGGTAGAACTTAGCCAGGCACAGTCTGAAGAGCAAAACCCAGCAGATTCTGACTCTGGTTTATCCTTGTACTACAGTCAAAGCCCTGCCTCTCCTAGTGGATCTGAATCTTCCAGTTCCTCATCATCTTCTTCATGCTCTTCTTCACTGTCCAGCCCAACCCCTAGTTTGATGCCCGAGGAAGGTGCTGTGGGCTACACCAATATCAAAGAAGAGGATGAAGCTGTGGGTGAGTACATGCCAGAACAAAGCAAGATGTGTCAATCAAGCTTTTTGGAAGCCAGACAGTTCCATCGCCTTCCTTGGCTCGAGCACATCGGACACGATCATACCTACAACCAACCTCAAAGCCGGAAGAAACCTCCAAAAGATCTTTCCGATGAGTCGCCGAAAAACAAGGTGCTGGAGCATCTGTCCTGCCGAGATGAGAAACATGCACGTTTGCTGAATCTCCCGTTCTCCAATGAACACATCATAAACTTACCCGTCGATGAGTTCAATCGCTTGCTAGCCAAATATCATCTCAATGAGACTCAGCTTACGCTTATCAGAGACATTCGCCGCAGGGGTAAAAACAAAATGGCTGCTCAGAACTGTCGTCAAAGGAAGCTAGATGTCCTGCTGGGATTGGGGGGTAGTGTGGATAGCCTGCGACGCCTCCGGGCCAAACTGCTCAGGGAAAAGTCTGAGATCTTGCGCTCCATCAGGGAGATGAAGCAGCATCTTAATAGCTTGTATCAAGAGGTTTATGAGAGACTAAGGGAGGAACAGGGACTGCTGTACTCTGACAACAACTTTACTTTGCAGCAAGACAGCACCAGACCTGTAACATCACAACGCAGATCAGATTCACACTCCAGACGCAAACTTAGCAAGAGACAAAAACACAAGAAGTGAGATGGAGGACTCACGCTATGACAAGGCTCAGGAAAAATGCTCTGTGCTCTGAAGTCCACGTGCTGGTTTTCCACAGTTCAATGGGAAATTGCTCCAAGTAGGGTATTTTTACCCTACTTGGATAATGTATTATACTTGATAATGTATTATACTATGTAGGCACATAATACAACTTGACTTAACTTTAGGTTCCACAAAGTTTTGATATTAAAGGGCCATATCTTGAGTTTCTTTGATCTTTTAAGCTAAAGGTGTTGATGTACTCTTAAAAACCTACTGTAATGGACAGCTAAACCTCAGTTTGTGTGTAAGGCTGAGTCTAGCCGGAGAAAGCACTCAACGCTGTTGTTCATTTCACATGTAAACAAGGCACAGCAGCAAATAACACATTTCACAGAGAGGGTGAAAAATTCTCATTAAAGAAGCCGTTTCACTCAGATATACATCACAATACGAAAAAAAAAAAAAAGACAATTACAACTTGTTTCATGTCCACTTTAAAAACAAAACGGGGCTATAAGAACATAAGGAGTAACTGAAATTGTTCCCAAAATCAGAAAACCCAAATAATCCCATGTTAGAGCAGCAAATGGTAAATTATGCTTGGAATCCAAGCACTGAAACAAAGGTTTAATGCATTTTAACTACTGCTTACTGGTATAATAAAAGTGTTGGTTTGCCATCTCATTATAGGGAACACCTTCATAATGTGAGCTTAATTTTGAGCAGGATTTACATTCACTAAATAGCAGGGTTGTAAGAATAAGGATTTTTGACCCACCTTGTTTTGATTTGTCTTTGTGCATGAGTCATCTTATTAGAGATTACGTTACTGTAACTCACTGACGAAATGTTTAAAATACCAGTTCTGTATTTGATTTCATGTTTTAAAATACTTTGTAAATAATGTAAACTTTTTTTATATTCAATTATGTACCTTGTGTTAAATATTTTGCAGTGAATTTATGTTCTTGGTTCTTGTTTAAATTAAAATATATTTATTGTCCACAATTTTCAGCTTCTTTTTTGTAACACAGGACCTTACTATAAAAATTAAACCTCATTTCTTGTAAAATAACTTTAATCATAAAACAGAATTAATAAAAAAAGGTTTATTTTAATGAACAAATAACCATTGAAAAAGTGAAAATGAAAGAAAATAACATGCTTTGAACAGTACACTTAAAAGACAATCGAAAGGAAAATCATGCAGTCACATTACTGATTGTGTACAACTAATAGTACTTCAGTCTCCTCTAGTACACAGAAGTGTATATATGCCACTATCAATATCATATTTTGCAAAAAACAGTATCCAGTGATCCAAGCACTACTTTAACCAATTTAAAAACTTTTTGAAGATATTTTAACATATTGTCAGTACTAACAAGTTTATGCTGGTGCAAAGGAGGTACTAAAAGACCTGATCTATAGCATGGTAATGTTAGCAAGATTTTTCACCTTCACTACACATTTACATATGTTTATGATAAAAAAGATGCCATGAAGCGGTGTAGTACATTCTACTCCTTGAGCACCGCCGAAGAAGAGGGTAATTCAGCAAAGTGTCAAACTTTTACTCTATGTTTTCTGAAGTATTTATTAGCCAGGTCTGGCATACCTTGATCAGCCTATAAAACTTGAAAGATCAGTCTGAGAAGCTGGAATCTAAAGAGCATATATCCTGTTCACACAGTAATGCAACAGATAAAAAACACTGACATCTAATAATTAAAAATAAAAAAGGTTTATATGAGATTATGGGAAATGCAGTTTACTAAGCAGACTAGAAATAATTATCCCCCCCAAAAAAAACCTCCTTGTGAATATATCCATACGCAATATATATCCTCAAATGGTGAACAAATAAAAGATGAGAATACTGTATACATGGTGAATACAAATGGAGAAATGCTGCTAAAACAGCAAGATTGCAATACACCGCAATTTGCTCACTAATAAGGCGACAACAGCTTTGACAAATGCATTTACACAACAAATGACTTAAAGGGGTCATATGATGCTGCTAAAAAGAACATTATTTTGTGTATTTGGTGTAATGAAATGTGTTTATGCGGTTTAAAGTTAAAAAAACACATTATTTTCCACATACTGTACATTATTGTTTCTCCTCTATGCCCCGCCTTTCTGAAACGCGTCGATTTTTACAAAACTAATCGGTCTGAAAAGCGAGGTGTGCTCTGATTAGCCAGCTATCCAGTGCGTTGTGATTAGCCGAATACCTCAAGCGTGAGA